ACCGGGAGGTACCGGGAGGCACCGGGAAGCGGCACCGGGAGGCACCGGGAGGGCCGAGAGCGCCAAGCCCCGCCGCGCCCGCACGCCCGCTCCCCGCCCTCACCGCACGGTCCGGATCACGAAGTAGACGATGAGGGCGGCGCTGGCCAGCACCAGCACGGACAGGGCGCGCTGGGTCATGGGCTGGCCCTGCTCGGGCGGCGCCGGCACCTCGGCCAGGCGGCTCCTGCCGCTGCTGCTTCGCGTGGCGGCCCCGCCGGCCGCCTCCGTTGGGCGCGGGGAAGCGGTGGCGGCGGCCCGCGGGGCCGCAGCCTCCCCGCAGCGGGCGGCTTCCAGCAGCACCAGCACCAGCAGCAGCGGCCCCACCGGGAGCCGCGGCAGCGCCGGCGGCCGCATCCCGCCCCGCTGCCGCCCGGCGCGGCCGCCGGAAGCCAAAGCCGCTCCGCCCCGCCCGCCGCGCCGCCTGCGAGGGCGCCGCGCTCGGCGAGCGGTCAGGAGCGCCTGGGCGCCAGCGAGCGCCACTTCGAATGAAGCAAACTTCGGCCGGGATAGTTTGGTTTTTTTGGTTTTTTTTTTGTTTTTTTTGTTTTTTTGTTTTTTTTTTTTTTTTTTTTTTTTTTTTTTTTTTTTTTTTTTTTTTTTCCAGTCCTCTGTCTTAGCCTGATTCTATGTTCGAAAGGACAAAAAATTTATAACTGAAAGTTTTATAACTGAGTGTTAAGGAAACTTCCCAGTGTGACCAATTATGAGACTCCCTGGCAGCCACTTCCCAGTGGCAGAGCTGCCGCTGCTGGCACCGAAGCCGCTTCGCAGCGGCGGCTCCAGTGACCTGATGTGTCCCCGCTTATTTCCCCACACACCCCACTCACGCCATCACACCGGGTTTCACACAGCAGTCTGAGGTGTCTTGTTTGTTGACGGTGCAGGACCTGGTCCTACGATGCTACCGAGCTACCTGCGGCAGACGTATTCCTCACCAATAAGCAAAAGGGTGGTTTGGAAAGTAGGGCCTGAAAACTCTAATTTTTGCTTCAGCTGTTGTCCAATGGTTGAAAGACCAGAAAAGGGATATGTCTAGACAGACCACAGCCGAAGGTGATGGAGCCCTCAGTGAAAACACACAGTGAACATGGATGACAGGACCCTGACTTAGGGTGATGCTATAGGGTAACTCTCCATAAACTTTATTGCTCTTGTGCCTCATTGTTCCTCAACTAAATGCTGTCCTGATAGGATAATCCTTTCGTTGTTAGAATCCGTTATGACTCTTTTTATTGGCTTGTTTGTTCGGTTGGTTTGTTACTGTATACTTCAGCAAAGATTTCAGAAGTGTAGTGTACCTACAGAATGAGAAATCCATATTGGTAATGAGCAATTTGACATTTGTCACTGTGTTGAAGGGAATTAATAAAATGCCAGAGTAGCAAAAAAGCCTTGTACAGATACATATCTGCAATTGAAGTAACAGGAGCAACAACCAGATTTTGTTCAGAAGGAGACTCATTATCCCAGAGGCCTTAAACTTAGCAGTGTATCAATCATATTGGATCATATAAAACCACATATAGATACTGTAAAAACAGTGATTAGTTAACTTACTAACAAGTTAATAAGTTTAGGCTTAGCTGTTCATTAACAGAAAAAATAGATTCAAAGTCTTGTGTCACACAATTAGTCTGAATTTGGAAAGTGTAAAACTGATTTAAGTAGCATGTGAGACATTAGACTATCAAGTGTCTCCCCCTTGAAAAATTAATGGGCCTTTAATGAGAATAATGTTTCAGATTATACAACAGATTTTGCTGGAGGTGCTGTAAGGATGTAGCATGTGAAGAAGCTTCCGTCATAGCTTTTTACCAGGTTTATGACTTCAACAGAGCTTGACTGATTCAGGTCCTACCACTGCCAATATCTATCAACCTGCTTCTATCCTATGAATTACCCTGATATATATTTTCTCTTGACAAGTCCAAGCAACTTATTTGCAGTACAGGGACATATGAGAGAGGAAAGTGTTCTATTCAAAAGTCAAGGAAGAATACTTCTTAGAAAGACAGTCACTGATGTTAAATTGTCCTATATCAGTATCCTTGATGCATAGACTGTGTAAAGTCTAGCAGTGCTGGCTGCCCGCTTAGCATACTACAATGACATACAGTGTGGTAAACTGCATGTCAGATGCAAAGCTTTAGGGGAAAAGAAAAGAGGATTGCTTTGGTCAGTAAAAACTTCAGCAGGACAATATTAGTATTTTAAAACACCCTCTCAGCAAAACTACCATACTTAAAACCAAGGGTTCTAGTGCTGTGTGGGGAAAGTTATTTTTTGAAGGTTTTTTTCCCAAATCAGAAGCTAGTGCTCTTAATAATCAACAGATTAAGACAGCCTTTGAGTTTTCAGATAGAAATCAAAAAAAGTAGAGTGATTTGTGTTTATTTAGAAACAAAAAGAGTTACTGAAGTCCTTGAATATTTGTTCATTTCTTTGGTGTGGGGGAGGGGTGGGGGTTGTTTAATCATTAAAATGCATGGATTTATTCAATATTCAAGTCAGGTATAAATACAAAAAAATTGTATAAAAAAAAAATTGAATACAAAAATTTACTTCAAGAGAGCTGTAAGACAATTTTTTCATGAAGTGTTGACATAACGTCAGCCTGTGTGTGGAAACTGGCAGTAATTTCTAGATTTTTTTTAGAATTCCTGACTGTTAGTACTTGATGTCTGATTTATTGGTTAGAGACAAAGTCAGGAAACAATTTTTTAAAACTGTGATGTCCTGTGATCATTATGGTATACAGCAGCTTTGCAAAGATGTGTCTTAGGGTTTTATTTCCCCATTCTGGGTTGAAGTCTAGAACCTTTTTTACTTACAAAAAGAATATGGAACTTTCTTGTATTATACCTAAAAGATAAGAATTTGAGTGCCATTGAAAGACCCTGAGACAGTTACATTGCCCATTTAAAAGAATAGAGCTTACTTGAGTTTTACCTTTGAGAAAAATAAAAATAGTAATTTTTTTTTACTTCCATAAAACAGACCTTGCAAATTAATTGGAAGAGCACAGAAATTGCTTTACGCAATTATTTGAGTGTCAAGAATGTCTGAGAAAGTCTTCTCATCAGAAAATGAAACAGTAATTTGAAGAAAGGCACTTAAGAGCTCTGTATAGTCTCTATTTTTCTTGTTTAGCTAGTCGAACTCAAAGGCCATTATCTGGTTCCTGATACTTGTAGCACCAAAGGGCAACACGTCTATTTCCTTTTCCCTCACCACTATCAGTCTGTCTATATCACAGAATATTCTGTGTTACAAAGGCCCTACAAGGATCATTAGGTCCACTTCTTAAGTGAAAGGTCCATAGCAGCATCAAACCCACAACCATGGTATTTGATAACACCGCTCTCAATCTCAAGTTGTTTGTTTTCATCCTTTATGAAGTCCTTGTGGAATGACTTTCCGGTGATTTTGAGAATTGAAGACATAAGAGGTGACCACACATTTCTGCTCTGATAGGAGGCTAACAAGGAGCGTGATTCCTGCTGCCCCTGTAAGATGTATGAAACACTTAAACCATGAAACTATCCAGTTTTTTAGGTCTCTAAACCATGTTCTAGTCACTCTTATTTATGCTGTCTGAGGACTTCTTTGTCCAAATGTATCTATACTTCCCCTTGCATAGATCAGAAATCTTTTTGAGTAATCAATTAAAAAACCTCAGTTGAATCTCTTTTCTTTTAATGACTCTTCCCCTGATGATATGCAAACTAACTACAGACTGTTGCAAAATATTGAACAATATGCTCTGCAAAGAATTTACAACTATATTTTGTAAACTTTTCTAAGAAAAAGTGATTAATTTTACATTTATACATGGTTGGTACTTGACTGCTTTTTAGAATGCAGCTGAGTGCCTTTTTAGATAGGTGCCTTTAAAAATCTAGCTATTTAGGTCTACATAATTTTTATATGAAATGTCCATTAGTGTCCATTTGAAATGTCCAATTTTGTCCATTAGCTCTGGACAAAACTAATTGAGCTATTCTTTTTAAAGAAAACTTTGTAAAAAATACAGTATAATTTCTTAAACATAAAAGTGGTATCTACAATGTGAAGGTAAGGAGTATTTTGAAAGCTGAAAAATACTGCCTAAAACCAGGTTTTGAATGGAATTTGGATGCTGCATATAGATGTGCTCCAGAGGAAACATGGAATGGCACTTCCTATACCTGTGCAGTTACATATCCAGTGACTATTTGCTATTCTATTCTATTCTATTCTATTCTATTCTATTCTATTCTATTCTATTCTATTCTATTCTATTCTATTCTATTCTATTCTATTCTATTCTATTCCATTCCATTCCATTCCATTCCATTCCATTCCATTCATTTTCCTTGTCATGGTATTCCTACACTAAATGTTTATCATAATTAAAATAATTGATTATATTTCTGTGTAAATTTTTTTGCCAAAATGCCTCAAAGGGACAAAGAAATCCCATGATGTTTAGCATTATTTTTTCTTGTTTGTTTATTACCTTTTGGTTTTGTGGTACCAAAGGGCTCTGATAGTGCCAGGATCAATTACTTGTGTTCAAGAACATGAAGTAATTAAGAGGACAAAAAAAAATGCTACTAAAAAAAAACAAACCTTATGCTTTTTATTTTGAATTATGCACATATACTTAAGAATATGTCACATAAATTTATATTCTTTTTAGAATATAATTTTGGGGTGAAACCTGCTAATAAAATCACTGCACTTTTTTAACATTCTGTGCTTTCTTATTTTAAGCAGGGGAACAGTAAGAACTAACAAGAAATGTTACTGTTTTTATTGTGCTTTTGTAAAATTGAGCTGCCAGATAAGAGTCTGCTTTTATTATAATGGCAAGCTGCTGAAGGTAGACAAACTACTTTGATTTGTTTCAAAGAAGAAATAATTTTATATTGATACTGAACTCAGCTGGATAGAAACTTTCTAACACATTTTTAAGTATTAGAAAGCACACAATTCTAGACTCAATCATTCCCCGATACGGGATGGTAAACAGGATTGATTCAGACCAGGGAATTAATTTCACATCAAAGATATTGCAGAAAGTTCAAGCCCTGGGAGTAAAATGGGAATTACACCATGGTATTCACAGAGTTCTGGTTGGGTTGGAGACTGAGTCAAACTCTTAAAAGAGCTCTAGTAAAGCTAATGACTGAAACCCAGATGTCATGGATAAAATGTCTCCCTTTAGCCTTGTTAAGAATTAGAACCAAACCCCACTCAGATCTGGGAGTTGCACCCTGTGAAATGATGTTTGGGTTGCCCTTCTTGACCTCACCACAGAAGGTTGCCAGCTATGAGGAAGGGGAAGCCAATGCCAAGAAATATGTCTATAG